ATATCTGTATTAATATATTTTATATTTAATAAAATATGATGCGCAGGCCACAATCTGCTGCTGGACCTGCTGTACAGCTACTTCCACTTCGAGGACCGTCTGCCGTCGAGCTTCCGCAACTTCAAGGTGGCCATCAACAAGGTCTTCCCCACCATCTTCGACACCAAGCACATCGCCGCCACCGATCCCGCCTACAAGGTACCCCCCCGACCCGACTCCACCCTTCAGTCAATCGAAGCCCGGCAAACCATGCAACGCCGCAATTCATTCGCTGCGTCGGGCCACGATACGTCACCACAGGACCGTTTGCTGAGCACGGGGCTGGGCGACGTCTACGCGGCCGTGAAGGGCGGCGTCAACGTGGTCCACGCCGAGGGCTTCGACCGGTACCGCGAGAACGAGGAGTACGCCCATGAGGCTGGTACGCTCCCTGCGCCCGCGTCCCGACAATCACCTGGTTGGCGCCTTCGTCTGACGTCGTCGACGCGTTGCGTGTGCCATTGTGTGCGTGTGCGGTGCCACCACCAGGTTTCGATGCGTACATGACGGGGGCCATCTTTGCTGCGTACCTGGAGCAGATCGTGGGCGCCGAGGCCCACATCGAAGGAGTCCCGCTTGTCGCCAGCGCCAGGATCCTTCAGGTTGGTCCACCACCATCATTCAATCCTCGTCGTCATCACCATCAACATCGCCATCATCGTCACCATCATCAATTTCTTACTCTTCTTCTTACTCTTCTTCTTCTTCTTCAATTCGAATCACAGTACGCCAACACGATCAACCAGTATGGCGCCTGCTCCGTGCTGCGCCTCGACCGCCCCGAGGACGAGAACGACTTTAGCAACGTCTTCCACGTCAGCATCAACCAGAGGCCGGCACAGGCGGCCGACGTCATGACCCTGTTCGATGGTGCGTGCGTGCCATGACCCTCTCCCTTCGCCCGCGTTGCATTCCCTCTTCTCGTGTCGTGTCGTGTCGTGTCGTGTCGTGTCGTGTCGTGTCGTGTCGTGTCGTGTCGTGTCGTGTCGTGTCGTGTCGTGTCGTGTCGTGTCTATTGTGTGTCGCAGGTATTCCGGTGCAGCTCAAGTGGATCAACAAGACCAGCACGTGGGTCATCATCAATGATCGCTCCGTCCTCCCGCGCGTTTGGCCGCTCGTCAAGCAACAGGTACCGAACCTTGGCTGACTTGACACACTCAGCGCCGCTCGCGCTTCTTCATAACCTCCGTGTGTCGTTGTGCAGCTTCAGACGCCCAAGGCGCGATCGCACGGGTTCGTGGTGCGGAGCTTTGCCGATTTCAAGGCGGGCAAGTCGCCCATTGACTGGCCGCAGCTGGCCAAGGCCGCCCTCGCCGGTCTCGCCCTCCCGCTAGGCCTCGCCTTCGCCCTCCACCGCCTCTCCGGCGGCGCCCACTGCTCCGCCCACTCGTAGCGATTCCCGTGTAACGGTTGTTTCTATTCGCGTTCAACACTTCACGTTCACGGGGACACGACTTCATCACATGGTCGAACTCCTCGAACGCCTTCGCGTCCAGTCCCAGTCCCTTGGCCAGCAGGCTGCTCAGCTGGTCGGCTGTTTGGCTTTCCTGCGCCTGGAGCTCGGTCTTGAGCTTCCCTTCTGGAAGGGAGTCAATGGCGCTCTTCCGCCTCGTCGTCGAAGCCTAGGTGCACGT